GTAGATGATGGGCGAGACAACAAGGAAGGAAAAGGAAAAGAGAAAGAGGACAGAAGAAGAGATTGATGCCATTGTAATTAAACTAACTCTTCTGCACTATACATTTATAAATTTTACGAGTGAAATAATGTCTTCTCCTGTTTCTATAGATGATGGAAAGGTTTGATAAATAGTTGAGTTGTTATATGATTGTGCTGCAAGTAATATAATTTTTATTCAAAAAGAAAAAAAGAATGTTGTTCTTGATGAGGCAAAAGGAAATATGGACAAACTTTAAAAAATGTTGTTCTTGATGAAGCAAAAGGAAATATGGATAAACTTTAAAGAATGTTGTTCTTGATGAAGCAAAACGAAATATGGACAAACATAATTCAAAGTACAAGGCAAGAGGTGTATCCAAGGAGTACTATCATAAAATGAAACAGAAGATGCCGGAGTCTAATAAGAAGAGTTATTTAGAAGAGTTGTTCATGATGATGATACAAGAATCAAATAAAGGCATTGTGATCAATGACAAAAGCAACAAGAGAAATAATAATGAAAAGTAGCAAAAGGTATACTTTGCTGGTCTTTGTGAAAAAACAAGAAGGATCTCCAATCCTTCTATCAATCTACACCTAGAACCATCTGTAAGTCTCCCTTAACCAACAAATGGGTACAAATACATAAAAGGGTAAGGGAGTTACGAGCGAAGGTGCAAGAAGAGAGAATCAAGAGAAAGCACGCAAAGTAGTTGAGGTAGAACAATTAGTTGCAGAAGGAGAAAATATTGCATATGAGGCTGTGGCAGCAGTCGCCATTTTGTTTAGAAGGCCTGATGAAGAAATTGTCAATCCTTCTAACCCAGTCAAAGAAAATACAAAATATTAAGGAAATAAATGAAAAATAAATAAAACTGGCATTCTACTCGCAACCCTCTTGTGGATCGGGCTTTGGATCCTGTTTCTCTTGATCGGAAATGATTAATAAAGGAATGAGCTAAACTAACCTAGTAAGAATATTATGCTACTCATTGACACAAAAATAAAGATTGGTAGAAAAATCAAAACAACTAATGAAACTCTTAATTAATCAAATTCATTTATCGTAACAAAATCGTTTACCGTCTGCGTACTGTAGCGAGATTCACAAAAATAACCTGTAGAGTTAATAACATAACACATATCATGATTTTATATGCAATCAGTTGGAATAATAATTTCTCTTTTATCAGTCTATTGGTATCCATGAGAGTTCATAAGGATGTCTTCAGAATGCGTGAACTCTTTCCTTTAAAATTTTCAATTAACGGACCGTCCCCATATCCCGTACAGTATGAACGTCAAATTACAAAACCTCAATACCCCATCCGGTATGGGGATGAAGCGAGTCGTCCTCATACCCTGTCCGGTATGAGCGCTAAATTACCAAACCTCGATACCCTGTCCAGTATGAGGTAACGTTCACAGTAGAGTTCCCTATGTACCCAGTCTGTCCACCATCTCCCAAGATATCCAGTAAGGCTGTTGTTTCGTCCATTCACTTCATCACACAATTTCTTATTTTCCTTTAATCTCCAGTTTTCCAATTCAACTGTAATCACATAAAACAAACATAGCATGCATCAGGAAATATAATCACATCTCGGTTTTCTAATTTTACAGTAGTCATATAAGGCAGCAATACATGCATTCAAAATAATAAAATCGATCAGTCAGATATTGTCATTCATTCAAACAATAAAATAAATCAACAGAAATCAACAGAGAATAATTTTCGGTTGTATCTCTATTAGTAACCCATAATTAATTATAGATATTTTTATAAATTGCAAAAAATACTGTATTATTGTTAATTAGACTTCAATTCCATAACAGAGAATAAGATGAGGGATTCTTACTCAAATTGATGCCCGAAAAGCTAAACTTGTTGACTGCGCCTACTGGCGGTCCTCGAATTCTCTAAATCTTTTTTCGAAATTAAAACGTACTACAAGTACCTACAAATATCCTAAAAACCCAAAATTGGTGTCAGGACCTCTTTTTGACCAATTTCAAAATTCCAGCACGGCTGCTCTGCTGTGCTCCGGTGGCGGCGCCGCGACGACAGCGGTTTGCCTTGGGTCGGCTGTTTTCGGTCAAATTCGGTCGGTTTTACATCAATTCCTGTGAGAAAACATGTTAAGGGGTCTCAGTTGACTAAAAAAATAAATAAATAACCGAAATTCACCGGTGACGGGGTTCTCCAGTACCGCAGATCCGCCGTCTCACCTTTGGAGTTAGGTGTTTTGCTTCGGTCAACCTGTAGAGAAAAAAACAGTGGTTAAAATGTTGAAAGAATTATGCAAAACGAAAATCGGGAAGAGCTTCATCGGAGGCATTTTTTAAAATTTCACGCGGCGGTGCTGTCGGGCTATGCCCGCGTTTTCTGACCAATTCGTCAGTCTTTTTGCTTTGATTCGGCCATAAGGCTGTTTAAAATTGAATTCCGAGCAAAATAATTTTTTTTACCTTTTTTGGCGTTCGGAAGTGGCTTCGGCGCAAATGCGGGTGGCGGCAGCTTTCCTTCCTGGCGACTAGGTCTTCTTCTCTGTCGAGGGTGTCTGGCGGTTAGAGTTAGGGTTTGGTGTGAAAAGAGTTATTTATATACGTCCCCTTTTAATTTGGGTCGTCCATCGCGTTTGATTTGGACCATCCGATTGCGATTAAATAAAAAGTAAATCTGGACCATTCGCGCGATCTAATCTGGGTCATTCGATCGCGTTTAAATAAGAAGTGGATCTGAACCGTTGATCACATTTAAATCTGACCATCTGATCATGTTTCAGGAGGGAACTCATCCGCTCCGTCTGTGCGCACGGGAGTGAATCTGGATTATCCGATCACGGGTATGCAGATCGTCCGCGTGGCCTCCCGTGTGGCACCGTGTCAATGTCTGTTGTCACGCAACGTGTTCTGATTTTTCGGGGCTGTTGACTGGGCATCCTACGAGGCACAACTTTCTTAAATTATATTTTGACCCCTCAGTTTTTTATTTTTCTTTCAAAAATACCCAAAAAACCCAAATTTTGACCCTCTAAAATTATTTTCAATTTCATTCCCCTCCTATTTTTCTTCAGTTTTTGTAATAACTGGGGAAAAAAAAAAGAGAAAAAAAAAGGAGAGAGGGAAGGGAAAACGACGTTGTTTTGCAGAGGGGAGGAAACG